GGCTTCATGGTGGTACTCCCAGACCTGGAGTCGGTGCGGGCCCGCTTGGACGCTCTCATCAACGAGGATGGCGAGGGCATTCCTTTACAGCGGCGCGACCAGGTGCAAGCCGAGACTGTGAGAGGCCGCCAGTTGGCCCCGGCCGGGTCATTTTCGCCGATTTCCTTTGGAGTGGTTGCGAGTTCTTCGTGAAGCCTACGGCCCTTCGAGGGATGGCCGATCGCGCCTCACGAGTTTTCACTCTGACTGTGGGCGATGTCGTCGCAGGGCCTTCGGCAGCGGACGCCCAGACACCGCGCGGGGGCTGGATCGATGAACTGGACCCCGACATGGGCCAGCGCCCACGATGGCGAGGCGGAGGAGGAAGAAGCACCAGATGGGGAGGCGCCTCCGGCACTTCCTCAGCCCATGCTGCCTCCCCGAACTTTGCCACCGGCGACGAGGCGAGAGCGTCACAGGCGAACCAAGGCAGGCCCGGAGGACTGTTCCAGGCGGGCCGTGGTCTCACGGCCGCCGAGCTCGATGGTTTGAGGGGCCTTGCCGGGGCAGCGCCAGCGCGAACGGGCACTCTGGAAAGGAGCCGGGCGCTGACTACTCCTGTTTACGAGGGGGGCCTGCACCTCGAAGCAGAGTTCGGAGCCCTGCCACCAGCGGACATTCAGGAATCGGCGGGCGAGATGATGGATTCCACGTCCACCCTGCAGTCTTTGCTCCTGCCTCAGATACGACAGAACGCGATCCTCCTAAAAATCTGACGGCGGGAAAGGGCGGCGACGGGATACAAGAGGCCCTCGCCGGCGCCGAAGGCAACGGGCCCGAAAGCTCCTCAGGAGGCAAGGGCCACTTAGCCCGCGATGCCTTTGTGAAGCAGGTCTCCGACTGCAAGCTGGTAGCGGCCAAGGTTCAGGAAAATGCGATGCTGGAGCTCGGTCTCAGTGCCCCAGAACCAGGGATGATGAGGACTTATCTCGAGCAGCGTGTGCTATTGGCGGACCATCGTCTCCTCCAACATGTGGCGGCCCTAGCGGCCTTTGGCTGGGAACTGGGGTACAAGACGGAGAGCGACGAGCTGAAGGGATTTTGCTCGAGGCGGCCCTGGACTCGGGCAAAGTCCAGCTGGCTTATCTGCTGGCCGGCTTCCCGGACCCATCGCCGGTGGGCCTGACGCATCGCCGAGCTCCCGGCCTCAAGACGTTCTTTCGCTTGGCAGCACCCCAGTGGCTGGCTGCAAATCTGGCCTACTTGAAGGACTTAGATTATGCCGAAACAAGGATCAATCAAATGACCTAGCACAGAGACGGGCGAGGAGACAGAGAAGCCTCCGCGCCGGCCGCCCCGGCGCCCGAAGAACACTGCAAGCTAGGGGGTTCGGTGCATAAGAGGGTTTGGGTTCCTTCGGGCAGTCGGGATAGTCGTTTGCCTGCTGGAGCCCCACAGCCTGCTGATGTGCCGAGTTTTGACCCGCAGTCTACGGACCTCGTTGACCCCCTTAAATTAGCCTCCGTTTTTGTTAAGTGTTTTTACGGTTCTAATTCCTGCCTCTCCTGGTTTACCCGCGATTCCCTGAGAGAGCCCAACGCCTGCACAGTGAAGGTTGTGACCTCGGATCACGACATATGGCCGGTTCCTCCACCTAGGTGGCGTTGGACTGCCTGCAAATCTCGCAGCCGGCGCCGAAGGCAGCGTTTCCTGCGATTGCGAG